TGTGTACACCTTCCATCACTTTTGTAGAGGCTGCAACGATAGAAACTGCCCTATGGCGTGAGGCGGGCACGCCCATCTAGCCACCTCCGCCCGAAAAAAGTTGCACCGGACTTTAGGACACATCACCTTTAGCACCCCTTTTTCTTTTTTTTCTTTTTATCCTGTTTGTACATAACTGAGATGCTCTTGTGAACGGCGATATCCTTTATCTTAATACTAGCTTATAGGGTCACGTATTCTCGCAACCTTTAACCTCTCTTTATATTAAATGTGTTTACTTGTGGTTTGTTGTTTTGAGTAATTAGCTATAATTATTATAGTAATTTACAACTTAAGTAGATGCGTTTGAAGAATATACTTGGCATAAATAATATTAGCAGATTTATCTTGATTTGTAAGTAACAATATTAAGATCACATCTAATAATATACCACACTTTCACGCCCACACCTCCATCATTGTTAAAATTTTAAATGTGTCATTTATTGATATGAATTAAGCATTATTACCATAATAACAAATAATTAACCATGTGATTATGTCAAACTTCTAAACTGTATCACAAAGCTTATATATTTAGTTGAAGCAAATTTATTTATAGAAATTTTACCATCGCCATGTCATCATATCAAATTTGTTATGCGTATGTTGTATTGAATTCAAGTTTACTGTACGCGTTCAGTAAATAAACCCACCACTTTGCGTATGTCATCAACCCCACCACCTGCATCATTGGTCACTTTTTAAAATACAAAATTCCTAAGAGTTTCTAAGTAAGTAAATGGATCAGAGCAAAAGCATATTTGAAAAAATATTGTTTATTTAGAGGACCCTAGAATAAATGATCTTATAGGGGTGCATGTGTAAAATTGACAAGAGAATAAAAAAGCTCAGATGAGATTTTCAGCCGAAGACACTTGAACACTCGTGATAGCTCTCGAACCTTATTTTGGCTCCTATCGGATGGCCTATTCAGTCAAAGAAAAAACTAAAATTTAAATTTTTAAATTTAATTTTGACATTGATTTTGAGATATTTTCAACGTAGTTTCTTTTTAGCATTGGCTTTTAAGTCATCGAGAACACATATATAAAAGTTTACCTACAAATTCATTTTTATTATCTAATAAGCCGTTTTGGCTTATTAAAAAAAAGCCAAACGATGAGGCCCTTCCCATCATCGATCCTTCATCCGATGGTCCATAATGATTTTAGCTATTCTGTCTCCTTATAAATCCGATGGCCATTATTAATGAAATGATGTGGCTTATTCTTGAATCATTTAAAGTTTCACTTTTTACTGACTAGAAAAATGCCCGTGCATTGCAACGGGTGAAAATTTATTTTAATCTCATTATTGTTATATGGTTTAGTTAAGATGAAATTCACTGTGAGAGTTCGCTTGGATATGTTAGCATGCGAGTTTTTTTAAACATATTTCTCATATGATTCCTTCTATATTACCAAAAGTAAATGATCTTAAAAACCGACTTATACATGGATGACGTACCAAAATACCGGCAAAAACATCTTTAATTTTTATAATAGTAGAGATAGAGACAAAGATACGTGCTCTGAGTATCCCTGCCCCCCTATCTTCAATTTTTTTTCTTTCATCACTTTTCTACCTGTTTATATTCCTTTCAAGGGTGGTGCAAAGTTTCAATTTCAGTCATAGAAAAACAAGGTAAGTGTGTATTACCATGTCAAATTCAACCTTATTGTAGGAGTTTTTAGCAGCTACATTTTCTTTTAGAATCTCACTTACAATCTAAAAAATTATAGTTACATAGGTTTGAAATATATGCTAGAAACTAGGAAAACCTAGTTTCTCCAGATTTTCACTAGTTTTATTTTAAATCTCGAGCTATCCAAATAAGGTCTCAGGCATTTAATCTAATAGATTGTATCGATGGCAGAGGGCCTCCATAAAAACGTGCCATTTGAATTCTCTTGTGCCTAATATGACCTACCAAGTTTGAAGTTGAACACATAAACTCTCTAACCTACTGCCATGCGCACCACCAAAAATGGGTTACTGCGCATATTGAGGTATTAAAATTTTTAGTGTAAAATTTTAACACCTATAAGTACTCTCTCAAGAACGTAAAATTTCACACCAAACATACTGGTAATGAAATTTATTGAGTTGAACATGGTGCCTATATCCTTGCCATGCTTTTTGTTAGCGAGCTGGGATCATCCTGGGCAACGAGAAGGTACAACCTTCACTCATTGGAGTCATTGGCTCCCTGCAGGGATTGCTTTGCTCCCCATTTGACACCAATTCCAGATCGAGGTAAGGTGAAGTCTCAGACAAAGTGGCATGCAATCATGCATGCTTACGACTCTTGGTATTAGCTTTCTGGTGCGAGTGACCGATGGATTCGGATGCATATATAGTGCGCGTGTGTGGATCAAAATGATCGACAAATTTAACACTAGGGTGGTACATCTGCGCTAAAAGACACATAGTGCCTAAAAATTAGCTAAAGCCTGGAAAAGTAATACGCAAATGCAGCAAGTTCTGTTCAACCCTTTATTTACAAATTGATTGCATTTTTGGAGTTCTTAGAGAAAATCTGCCTTTTGTTAATGACATTTCTCTACACGGTCCTTCACATATTTACACATCAATTCGTTTGCCTTACGATAATGAAAACGAATAACTTGTAAAAGTTAAATAAGAATATTCAAAGGCCCATAAATTTGTATGGCATGCATCTGCACACATTCACATAGACAGATCTGATATACTAATTTCATACTACTACAACACTGTTATTCGGAGAGACCGGTGGTCCAGGTTGTCAGAACAAGAGGGAGCAGCAGCTAGCAATTTCCTCGTTCCCCTGCTCAAGGCAGCAGCACACTTTGCATCTTTATTGGCTTAGGGCCACCCACATTGGCGTCGCAGTGCCATTATTCAGAAATCAGGATCAAGAACGTTAGAAGAAATGGAATGAGTGACAAAAATCCCTGAGCACTCTCTCACGCAGTGTCAGAATGAGAGACCAATGTAGGGCCTGTCCATAATTTCATCTCATACAGTGTGTTGCCAATTGTAACGCAGAATTGCAGAGCCATTCAGCTCCATCCAAGTGTTCTTTGCTGGGTCCGGCATTTGACCCCGGATTTAATACTGACGCAATGCGAATCAAAACTCCAAACCATACGGACTACGGAGGAGAAACTGGGCACCGCAAACCACTGTGAATTGGTCATCTTGAACAGTGCCTAGGTGAATGTAACTATGTAAGGTCCATTGCACTTGGGAATTTACTCAAGTGCGATCCTTTAAGATCATATGAACTTTTGCGAAATTTGGTTTTTTACTTTTCTTTAGCCAGTGGTTGGAGGCTCGGAGCCAAGCTTTTCAGAAGAAGAATTGAAGCAAGAAAGGCTCCGTCAGCACACAGACGTACGATCAGCTTGATGCGGGCACCAAGGAGACAGACACTAGAGAGCAGAATTCATAAGGAAAAAGGAAAGCTATATATGCAAGGTATGGTAGCCACTCGGCTAAAGCTATGACAAGAGAGAAACAATGCACCACATTAAAGTCATCGCTGTAGTAGTATGACTCTCTTTATAGCAACAGATTCTAATCTCGAACGTCTCTAATTTCATCTCTCAAATTCAATATAAAATAGCATGGTGGCCCGCGTAGATTGCGCGGCTAACATCATTATATTTTCTCTCATATAATAGCATATATGATTTCTCATTATATTATTCCAATATATTAAAATAACATCATAATTTTAAATTTTGCAATAACTTTACGAAACTACAAATGTGTAATATTTATATTGTATTTTATATACGTGTTAGTTATTAATTATTTTTAATATCAAATTTTAGTTATTTGTAAATTATATATATTCCTATATGAACTCTAGACTCGTCTTTTAATATTTTTCTTTTTTTTACTTCCGAATTTTCTGTAAATTGTATTTCTATATTAACTCTAGGCTCTTCTTCCAATATTATTTATTTTTATTTCTGAATTTTTATTATTTCTAATTGTATTTCTATGTGAACTCTAAACTTATCTTTCAATATTCTTTAATTTTTTAATTTCAAATTTCAGTTACTTCTAAATTGTTTCCTATATTGACTTTAAACTCTTCTTCCCATGTTTTTCTTAATTTCGAATTTTAGTTATTTGTAAATTGTATTTTTATACGGACTCAAAGCTCTACTTTTAATTCTATTGTGTTTATTCCGAATTTTAGTTAGTTTTAAATTCCTATATGGACTCTATACTCTACTTCTAATATTCTTTATTTTTAATTCTGAATTTCTATTATTTCCTAATTTTATTTCTATATGGACTCTATACTCTACTTCTAATATTTCTTATTTTTAATTCCGAATTTCAGTTATTTCCTAATTGTATTTCTATATGGACTCTAGTCTCCTCTTCTAATATTCCTTATTTTTTAATCCCGAATTTTAACTATTTCTAAATTGTATTTCTATATGGACTCTAGTCTCCTCTTCAAATATTCCTTACTTTTTAATTTCGAATTTCAGCTATTTCTAAATTGTATTTCTATATGGGTCCTGCTTTTTCTTTTTCTCCGATTAATGCGAGAATTTCTAGGCCATGAGAACGAACGTGGAGGCTCCTTTTTCTATTCCTTTAATAATATAATAGATAATTATAAAAAATATATGAAAAATTGACGGTGTAGACCAGAGTTCCATCTATTACTCTATCGAAAATCAAATTTAAACTCGATCTATACATTAAGAACAAAAGTAAATTCAAGTGTAAATAGTACAAATACTGTTCATTTGTTAGATTTGTTTTTTTATTTCTCCATGTATAAGTAGAGTTTAGACTAAATATTTATTGGATAGTGCGCTATTTTTTAAAGATTTTCTTATAACAGTTTAAGTAATGTGTTTGAATAAACGAGATGGCATCCCCGAGTGATTGAAAGAGTTTCCTCTCTCTTCAGAGTGTGTGCGGTTGAGTGGCTGTGTATAAATTCAGGCAAGTATGGTTGCTCCCTCTGTGGTGGCCTGGCCTCACAAAGTCCCAGCCAGTTTGCAGCTTATTAGAGAGATCAAAGTGGAAGCTATCAAGCAAGAAAGGAAACGCCTACACCTACTCCTGGCCCCTGCCCCCCAAAACTTCTCATAGCTTCAAATCAACTTTTTCTAGCTAGCCCTTCAGCTTCAAATCAAGCGGCAGCTTCATCACATACACAGTGATCTGTGGATAGCTAATGAGAGCAAGCATCTAGAGTATCTTGTTCTTGATTCCTTGGCCGTCTATAAGCTTGTGTGTGCAGCATCAGCTAGCAACAGAAGCAGCTTCAGCTCAGCTGCAATGGAGGAGCAGCTGAACCCACTGGCTGTGACACAGCTACTGCAGCACACGCTGCGCGGCCTCTGCACCCAAGGCGACTCCCAGTGGGTGTACGCCGTCTTCTGGCGAATCCTCCCAAGAAACTACCCTCCTCCAAAGTGAGTCAACTAATCCCAGCTTAGCTGAATACTCACTTGATGACACTGATTAGTTTGACAGTAAAAGAATTAGCAGTAGCATTTTGCTCCATATTTAGTATTGATGCTAGTTGCTGTTTTTTTTTCCTCAATATGGTCAGATGGGATCTTCAGGGTGGTGTTTATGACAGGAGTAGAGGAAACAGGAGGAACTGGTTGGTGCAGGATCTTCTTTCCTTATGCATTTGTATTTGTTTGTTGATTAATTCGTGTTTGTGATTCATCTTGGGGGTTTACAAAACTCGCCTAGGATCCTGGCATGGGAGGATGGATTCTGCAACTTTGCAGCCTCTGCCTGTGACCAAGAGGACACACCAGCTGCTGCCGGGTACACTGACTATGCAGCAGCTGGGCATGAGGTGAAGGGCCTCCAGCCTGAGCTCTTCTTCAAGATGTCCCATGACATCTACAACTATGGGGAAGGGTATGTGGTAGTACTAATTAATTAGCAGTTTGGCTTGAAACATCATTAATTAATTAGTGTCATAGTATTGGCCGTCTTTCTTAATTAGTAATCTATGTTCTTTGGGAAAACCTACGCTAATCACTTTAGTCAGCACGTGAAGCACGATCTCATGATGCGATGATCCATCTTGAAGGTTGGTTGGGAAAGTTGCAGCTGACCATGGCCACAAGTGGGTGTCCCAGGAGGCCAATGAGCACGAGATCAACCTGGTTACCTCATGGAACAACCCTGCCGATTCTGTAAGCTGCAGCATCTTCTCACCTATCTAATCAGTTCGGTTAAAACTCCTAAATTGATGCTTGCAATAACAACAATTAACATGTTTTTGTTCCGTATAATTTCTGCTGATTGCAGCATCCAAGGACATGGGAAGCTCAGTTCCAGTCCGGTATCAAGGTACACGTACGCCTCGTACCTACCAAGAAAGAGTTTGTGAATGCCAAAGCTGATGATCTTTTTACTCTCTTTTTTGGCAGACCATTGCTCTGATCGCCGTCAGAGAAGGCGTTGTACAGTTAGGCTCCATGAAGAAGGTACGCCCGTTCTCTGCTCTGTTCTTCAGTCCTCTTCACCCACTCTACTGTGTGCAGCAGTTGCCAGGGTTTACTCTATCGGTTCAGGGGTTTTTATCGGGGGTCACCGAAATCCCAAAATTTCAAAAATTTCGGTCCGAAATTTCTGAAATTTTGAACAAAATTTAGTTGAATTTGTAAAAATATTATCCAAATTCATGAATAAATTAAAAAATTCAAAAATTTCGGCCAAATTAATATCGTATCAGGGTCACCGAAATGACCGAAATTTCGATTCGAAATTTTCAACCCTGGCAGTTGCACTGTGGGTGACTTGGTGTCACTGATCATGTCAAGCTCGCTCACTGGCTTCGCGTAGCTGCATGCATGCACGACAAATAAGGGGGCAATGTATGCCTATAGCTAAGGGTATAAGCAGTTAACCGTAAACTTATTTATAGATCAAAATAAATTATTTATTTTAACCTGTAAGTAGGTTACGGGTTAACTATTTACACCCTTACGTACAGCTCGCCGCCGTGTTGGTGTCGGCATGGCCGTGCTGATCGATTGGTGCGTCGCGTTGCGTTGCGTCCATGGCTGCAGGTGGCGGAGGACCTGAGCTACGTGGTGGCGCTGCGGCGGAAGTTCGGGTACCTGGAGAGCATCCCGGGCGTGCTGCTGCCGCACCCGTCGTCGGCCGCGTTCCCCGGCGCCGGCGGCCTGCAGGACGCGGCCTGGGCGCCGTCGCCGACGATGGACCTCTACGACCCCTACTACGGCGCCCATGCCGCGGCGGCGCAGATGCACCACATCGTGCCGTCGATGAGCAGCCTGGAGGCGCTCCTCTCGAAGCTGCCGTCGGTCGGCCCCACGGCGGCGCCCGGCGCCATTCGCGGCGCCATTGGCGGCGGCTCTGTGGCCAAGGAGGAGCTGGACGACGCCATGGACGCGGCGGGCAACGGCGGCGGCGAGAGCACCAGCGCCGCCACGACGCCGCTGGTGCCGTACTACGTAGACGTGGCTAAACCCGACGAGGGGTTTTAGTGTTTTAGCCTCTCTCTCTGCACGTCTCCGTCTCGAGGCTGTGCGCGCACGGTTGTTGTAACATCTTTTCTTTTTTTTCTTCTAGTGTCGCATTGTGATGATTATTCTATATTAACCCAATCATGTGTGCGGCTGCGTGCTTTGAACTAGTTGGAGGTGTCGTACTGCAACGTACATACGATATCCTGTACGTCAGATTCTGTCGATCAATCACACTGTACTGCATTCTTACCAGCAAGTTTGATTTTTGCGTAATATCGGAAATTTTAGAGTAAATTTTAGGAAACTGTAAACAAAACTATCAATTTGCTACAACATTAGCGACATATTTCAGATTGCTGCAACAATAGCGTGGAAAATTATTACAAAACTAAACCTTTTACGTTATGTGCTGCTACAGTACATATAGGTAACAACTATAGCATCATATAGCGTAAAAGTTGTAGTTTTATGATAATTTTCTATGCTATTGTTGCAGCAAACTGAAACATGTCATTAATGTTACAGCAAACTGATAGTTTTGTCACTAAAGTTGTAGTTTTTTGAAATTTACTCAAAATTTTAAGATTAGACACATATATTAAATTGGTTAATAGAATTAAATAGAAAAAGATTGTGATTGATTGGAAAAAAGAAGATAGATACATAATTTGAACAGTAGAAGGTGTTTTGTTTTGGTTGAGAAGATAATGTAGGTGAAAAAATTATTATATTTTAGAATAAATTTAAGAAACTATAATGTGTTATATTTTGGTTTATGGAAGTACAATTTAAACGAACGTGTATAAATTCGTTTGCCTCCACTTTTTAATTAAACATCAGTTACATAATTAAAATAATTTTTAAAATGAAAAAAAAATGATACTCCCTATCATCTCGCCCATAGTGGAACATTTCCAATTCATATGATTTTCTTTAGAAAATCCTATAAAACCTCTGCCAGAGCCTTAAACTTATAAAGTAGTTATTACCAACTGATTTTACAATCTTTTTGAGATATTAGCGGTGCCATATTGATAGCGTAAAGTTTGATACATTTTCCTCACACAACATAGGGTGCCAACTTTTTAATGTTCTAAGGGTTCATAGTTCAAGTGTTCACCATTATGGACCGATCGAGAATTATGGGTTTCATGACTCATCGTGATAATAACCCTTTCGTTCAATCATATCCTAGGATGACAATTGGCCAAGTTTGTAATGCAACTGGGCAAGAGACAAGTTCATTGAAAGAATTTTAACGGCAACATTGCCCTGATGATGCGAACATTGCGGATTGGTTCACGTCTCTGATGTCCAGATCAATTCAATTTGCCTCCAAAGCCAATGCACCAAAGCAACTAGACCAGGGCTACCCATCATGACGAAAACCCAGCTGCTGCAAGACAGTTGCTCGATCATGCATGTCACATCAGCCAAACCTACGAAGGCAATTAACCTCTGGAAAATGATATAAAAATATTCTTTTTATAAAGAGAAGAGTAATGCTATAAGACTACCACATCCATCAATCATTAAGTTTAGTGTTTTACCATGCGAGACCAGGTAAGCAGCATCACCTGTACATGAATTAGCCGGATGTAAGTTGTGCATATGTATCGGGTGCATAGCAATTTTTTTATAAGCTTTTTACAAATGCTAATGTGTTGTATTATAGTTGAATCTTGATTTTTTTAAAACTTTTATAGTATACTTTTTTATCAGTAAGGAGTTTATAAGAATTCTTTTAAAGAACTTAAAACACTGTTGAACTTATTAATTAATACTTCCTTCGTTTTACAATGTAAGTCCCACATTCATATTAATGATAATGAATCTAGACATATATATTTATCTAGATTCATTAACATCAATATGAATGTGAAAAATGCTAGAATGAACCGTGCGGATTTCACTGTTTCACTGAACCACACCAGTTTCAGAGACACAGTGAGTTGCAGAGTTGGAATCGATTCAATGTCACTCTCTTACGCTGGCTGCCAGTATACGATGCCTCCGGCCGCCCACGGCTAGCTTCGAGCCTTCGATGTCGTGTGTTTCACCATGTTTGTCCATGCGACGCTCGCATGCATGTATGCATGATGCATCCATGCACGTACGGCCGATGTCATGTGAGTTGTAACTTGTAAAGGGGAGGAGTGTGTCCGTTTCACTCATCGGCGGATGCAGCGGCGCTGTCGACGGATCGATCGATCGATGCATTGGGAAACGTGAAAGGTTCCGTGATCGATCCAGTCCTTCACATCAATCGATCGCCATCGTTGAGTTTGACTCCTCCTCATATCAAAATAATTATAAGTATTAAATATAGATTAATGATAAAACCCATTCTATAATTCTGGACTAATTCGCGAGACGAATCTAATTATAAGTATAATTAGGGGGTGTTTTGATAGGACTAAAACTTGTTAGTCCCTATTACATCGGATGTTTGGACACTAATTATAAGTATTAAACGTAGATTAATGACAAAACTCATTCCATAAATAACCCTGGACTAATTCATGAGACGAATTTATTGAACCTAATTAATCCATGATTAGCCTATGTGATGCTAGAATAAACATTCTCTAATTATAGAATAATTAGGCTTAAAAAATTTATCTCGCGAATTAGCTCTCATTTATGTAATTAGTTTTTGTAAGTAGTCTATGTTCAAACATTCGATGCTATATAGACTAATGTTTAGGCCATGTATCCAAACACCACCACACACATTACGTGCTGTGATCCGTCATCCATTGTGCACTGCTAATTCGTTCATAATTACTCGCAATGGCGTCCACGACCTGTGTGTACAGTTCGCCCCTACTACATACTCCATATACATATATATCACTGTCCCCATACACGATCAGTATGGTCATCTCCGTATATTTCGCTGACCGTGGCTGCAACGATGCGTACTACGATATGATGGACGATACGGGGGGGCCGGGGTCCCTGTGGATGGATGGACACATGTTTGTATCCTTTGACCGCACGGTGCGTGCACAGGATCAGCGAGAGCTCGCCGTGCCCACGCCGCGAGGGCACGCTGCATATGCACGCAGATGACCGGGTTCGTTCGCGTGTTAGCGTCGTGAGCCGTCAACTCGTTCGTCGTCCGAGTTCAGTGTACAGGGTTTTCGCCGAAAGAAACAACCTGGGCAATGATTTGTTGGGCGTGTGTGGAAGATGAAGAAATCTGCAGGTGGAACGTAACATGGCCGGGTACGTACGTGGTACTGTGCGGCGTGGCCCGGTCTTGACTGATTGTTGGGCAAAGGAAGAAGCTGCGGAAATTAAGTGGTTGGGCAGCATATGTTGGTTGTCGTGGAACTGTTCGGTCCATCGGCTCTCCATGGATCGTGCATGATCTCGTACGGGTCTGTGAAATGTGCATGCAGCCGCGGCACTGGCATTTCTAGTCTCTATTCGATGCACTGGATCGAATGTAATGTGAGACTGTGCATCCTTCTAGCTTCTCATGTTTAATGTGATTGAACTCTGCTGTCTTGCATAGCCAACTCGCCAGCGAGGTGATTTGTACTGGTTCAGAGTTCAGACTCTTCTGCCTTGGCGCCTTGCCATCGTCTCGTCTAACATGTCAGATTACATATTTCCTCCCTGCTGTTTGCAACTCTTCACGGCGCCGGCGCCGCGAGGAGGCGGAAGCCAACAGCACAATGAAAACGTTCGTCCACCGACACCTGGCCAGAAAGCCAGCCAGCCAGGGAAGCACACGCGGATCAGTCGACGCCACAGCCAAGGGCGAATCTAGAGCACGGAGGACCCGAGTGCACACTTCATTTATGCATGTAATAGAAATGTAAATGTAATGTATACAATGACAAAAAATGCTTACCAAAATAAAAAATCTGGTAGTACATGTCTACATAGCAATGGGCAAAATATATAATTAAGCTGAGTCCTTAATGAGACGATAATAACCTGTAAAAAAGTGCTAATTAGATGATTTAATATTTGAAATTAGGCCTTCATGGGCTGCGTGCAGTAGCTGAAGGTGGTACACATATTTTTTTCTAGGGAGTGCATAAAAGATGGAGATTAGATGCTAATAACTAAAAACTAAATTTTTCCCTGGTGCCTGTGCACTCGGCAAGCTAAACGTGGCGTTGCCCCTGGCCACAGCGCGCGGCGGCACGGCGCACCGTGCATCTCTACGGAAGGGACTAGGGAGCATGCAGTGGGCGAGGAGTAGTACTTCATCCGTATCGTCCCGTGACTGGACCCAGCACTCCAGCATGAGAGGCGGATATGCCTCGTCGAGTGGCGGATCCAGAAAATCGATTCGTTGGTATCATAACGTGTCTATCGGTATCATAGTATGCTAATTATACTTAGATCATTTTGTTATAACATATAGATAAGCAGTTTTGTTATAGGTTTTGCTAAAAGTCGTCGGTGTCGCCTGACACTAGCCCTAGTAATGTAGATCCGCCCATGGCCTCGTCTTGCAATTTGCCAACTTTTTGTGTGTGTTTTTTTTAATAATGCATAAATTTCCACGGGTGAATATACTATCCATATATAAGGGCATCCACAGGGGTATTCAACTATTTGCCACTTTTAAGATGTAGCAATTAAAAATTTATCACTCATAGTTTGGGTCCTTAAGTGTCTAAGACATGTGGGTCCAATGACAAATACTTAATTAGCACTTGTAAGAGTGCCAAATAGTTTAATATGTTGCATCCATAATATAGTGAAAAGGTGGGTATATAGGGATTAAAGTATTCTTGCCACCAGATAAGATATATTGTGAAAGTAGTAAATAATTACTAATCCATCCGTCTCAAAATATAAGTATTTTTAGATCCTGACACAGTCTCTAAAATGCTACTTTGACCAACAATATCTATAAAAGTAAGATGTTTTAAATAAAAAGAGTTGTATATTGTGATAGTTTTTTTAATAATAAATCAAATAACACCAATTTTGCATGATTGATCTTTTTTTATTATTTTATTGCTATTAATGATCAAAGTTAAACATGTTTGACTTGTCACTTCGTGGTGTGTTCTACCTATTTTTTAATTGTGGCATGGCTCATGTTTTGGGTTTTTTATGTGGGTCCACTCTACATATATATACATTTATGTGGGTCCTTATTATCCACTCTACATATATGTGGGTCCTTATTATCCACTCTACATTTATGTGGGTCCTTATTATCCACTCTACATATATATACATTGTGAATTTGTGATTTATTTTCAATCTACTATTGTCTTCTGACATGGACTTATCTTACTACCAACTTTTGTAACAAACATTAGGAATGCCCTAATAACATGCACATGTATGATCATGTGAATCTCAGTACTTTTTTTCAAGGACCATAATCTTTCTGCTAAAAGAAATTGACAACTTTAGTCCCTACAAACTGAAACAAGAGGGAATTCATTTCAATCGCCGATTTAAAACAGTGTCCGAGATGTATCTGTTGAACCACAGCCACTAGTCGCTGCTGCCTTATATTACGAGAAACTGGTCACAGATGACAGATGATAGTAGGTAGGTTCAACTCCATGTCAATAATCTACTATTACTGATTTCATTTATAAAATAATTGGCTTTTTAATCAAAACTCACAAGGTAATTATTTTCTTTTGAATAAACTAAGACCAAGACAACATCATTAATATAGCTTTAACAATTACTCCATCTATTCCCAAATAAATAAAGCACGAGATGTGATACATCCTTTATTCCCAAATAAATAAAGCACGAGATGTGATACATCCTTTAGTACTAGATTTGTTTATTCTATAACAAAGAACAAAGGGAGTAACACTAAGGGAAAAAAAATCAAAAATGAGATACATAGGGTTAAGAGGGATTTTTTTTTCAAAAAAAAAAAATCTTTTGCAGACTCATAGCATTTGCTGGTTAATTTCTAGAGGAGTGAATTTAGAGTGCTCGCTTAATGTCTCGTGTTGGGTATCTACACACTATTAGTTCTTCTATCAATATTGAAATTATCATGTTTTGAATTCCATTGTTGATCAGCAGATTGAGCCAATTTGCTCCTACATTGGCAGCATTTTAGTGGGATTGGTTACGCATTTACTACTGTAATGCAAGTTAAATTCCACTAAGCAATTATACAGGAACATGGTAACCCAGGACACGGTCCAAGGCAAAACAGCGAGCCCAAAGATTACCCATACTGAAAGAAGTAACTGAAAACAAATAAACTTTTTTTCAAAAGGAACTAGGATAGGCTAAGGCAGCGAAGATGAAGTGCGAGCCAACTGATGGAAATGTTACCCATTACCATGAGATAAATTAACCAACTTAATTCATCTCAACAAGAGTTGTACAAAGTGTCTACATTCAACGTTGAGTGATCAGCCATAGCTTAACAAAAGACAACAAAGTGAAACAACGGTGCATCACGAGCGGGTCAGTTCACAGGAACTCCAGAGGTTCACTTCTATTTGCCTCCGCAGCCGGCCATGCCGAGGGACACCGAGGCAGCATCCCCACCACCAAGTAACATCAAAAGGCTTCGCAACAAAGCCGTTGGATGCTTGCAGCTTCACAGGCTCGAGTGAGCCAATTGATCAACTAATCATCGCAAGTGATTCTCTTTCTCGTTGGCGTTCTTTCTCGGCCGAGCAGGAGATCTCGCACGAACGGCAGTGACGTTCTCCTTGTTGCTGCTCATGGATTCGTCAGGCTTCGCGGCGTTGCGGTCCGTGAGAGGGATGCTGTCCACAGCTGGTGAGGACATTGCTCGGGGCAGCCTGAGGGGTATGTCTCTGTTCCGTGGAACCGGCTCGGTGTTCTGCGGCGCCGTGGGTGGGAGAGGTGGCGCTGAAGGGACGAGCTGAACGGTAGACTTGCGCCAATTCTTCCTTTGCTTTGGTTTTGCCCCAGTTTGTTTCACCTGAAAGGAGTGTGAAGCAATATGAGGCATTTCTGTGACATGGAAAACTGCACGATAATGATGATGATTAATTATATCCATTGAAAGATATGCAAATTTAATCAACAAGACAATGTGGCCTGGAGTGAAGCATAGCACATACCACACCATTTCCAATATCAGCCAGTGGTTTTCTTGATTTTGTCTCTTGAGCTTCCTTCTCTGACATAGAATTCTCAAGAAGCATGACGCCCTCCTTCACAATTTCCTGAACTTTTGCATCATCCACATCATCTGAAGAAGATACTTCAACCACCCCACCACCTTCCTTTTCTTCCTTCATATCCACCCTATTAGAACACCTGGAGGTAATACATCCACAATCACCCCCACAATGTGAACCTGAAGCTCTACATTCGCATTTTTGGGTCTTGCAGGATGAGTATTTCGAGCATGAGCAGCACTGTGGAGCAAGGTCCAGTGAAGTAGACTTTTCTTGACTGGCCATTTCTGATTTTGCACTTTTTTGTGTAGTACCACTACCCGGGTTAGGATTCAGATGGCTGGACACTGTTTGCCGACGTCTTCTGACCTTCTTCGAACATTCCCAATCTGCATCAGATGCTCCGTAGTCTGCATCAGATGCTTCCCAATCTGCATCAGATCCTTCCGATTTCTCAGAATCTGATATATCCATGTCATCAGACCACAAGAAGCTGTTCTTACTATAATGTAAACTATGGGAAGCTCGAATGCTCTACATGCAAAAGGGAAGATGTCAGACACACTTTACAAGGATTATATGGATCTAGTGCATTTTGGATATCACCACATATAATCTAGATGAACCAAGATACAAAAAAAATACCTTTCGCATAGCATAATGTTGACCATCTTCAGAACCAACAGTACCCTTTCTGGAAGTGCCAACAGGATTTTTTGCTTCACTTATAGCAGTAAATAACTGTGGATTGAAAAAGTATAAGCACACACACGATTCAATCAAACATATACTGGTGAAATGCATCATGAAAATTGCTATAATGTAATCAGATTTGCCAGACTGCAAAATTAACAGAATATTTACCAGCATATTTTGGTTATTCAAATCCTTCACTTGAGTTTCTAATTGTCTGATTCTACCATTAAGTGCAACCACCTTTTCCTTCAGGTCACAAATGAGGTGTTCTTTCTCTTTACACATCACCTCTTTGTCAAGTTGTTGACATCTATAGGCAACATGCATCAAATAAAAACAGCATCAATAAATTAGGGTTGTTTATTCGTATTAAAAGAAACACCAAAGAAAATGTTAAGAGGATTTAAACATTTCAGAAAGCAAAGTATGACATACCTTGAAGATGATGCCAACTGAAAAAGGTAATTCATTGTGTTCTTCGCATCAGGAAGGGACCTTACATGGTTCCATCTGCCCTTACCATTGAATGCACGCTCTCGCTCCTCCGCTTCAGACAGTTGAGAAGCCATAGACACCATTGCACTAGAGGATGATGACAGCATGTTTTCTAGCGCTGATATCCTAGAACTTCTAGCACTAGGAGACATAGCCTGAGGACACTCTTTCAGCTTTGCTATTTCCTTGGAGATTGCTGCTCTCCTGTTAAAGAAAAACAAAATGATATTAGAGGAGAATAATGAGAAACAATTTCTCAACCAGAATGAAAGTTAGGAACAATTATTTGAACTGCACTGATCAGAATGATGTATTGTGGATTGGCTCAAAGCAAAAGGTTTTTTTTTTTGGAAACAAAAGAAGTTTGGTTAAAATTTAGATGAAAAGATCAAGACAGTTTTCTAGGAATATGCAAAAGTTTGTGTACCATTGCATTATTAAGAGAAAAGAAGTCCAACTGGATGTGCGAAGAAGACCAACCACCCTAACTTCAATGGCAGCTTAAGCTCACCCCCCCCAAAAAAAAAAAAAAAGAATATGCAAAAGTTTGTGTGCCATTGCATTATTAAGAGAAAAGAAGTCCAACTGGATGTGCGAAGAAGACCAACCACCCTAACTTCAATGGCAGCTTAAGCTCACCCCCCCCCCCCCAAAAAAAAAAAAAAAACATCATGTGACCTAACTCAGGCTGTATCCATACCGTCGAGTTCTAGGGGCTACCTTTTGTAATTAAGGTACTGAAACCCATTTATTTGATACATGAATGTGTTATACCTAAAAAAAATAAATGTACCCTGTGGAAGTCCATCCATCATGAAGACAAAGACTTACTCTTGCATTTGTCGCTCGTAGTGCGAACGCAATTCGTATGCCCTTACAGTCACTTCAAGTTCATCATCAATGGCCCGCATTAAAGCCTAATGACATATCAAGAGAATATTTCAGATGAAATGCAATGGGAAAGCATTAGTTTCTATATATGCAAACAAAAAATAATCAAAGTTTCAGTGATAATACCTGAATCCCAGAACCGCTTGCACTTCCTGAAAATTTAAAAAATAAATAAATTTTCAACCATGAGGCAGTATTTACGAATTACTTGCTCACAAGTGCACAGTAATCTGAATGGGAAATAAAATTAGTCGATGTTTTCAGCTTATTACCATATGTGTCACGGGTGGACTTTTTTGCTTCAAGCGACTCCTTCAGTCTTTTCGTAGCCATTGCTGCTTCTTCAGTTTTCCGCTGTAAAACCTATGTTTTGAAGAAGAATGGTATTACTTTCATGTTACCTAGAAAGTCTAGAAAGGGAGATGACTGAGAAATCCAACCATTTTCTGCCTCTGATTTAGGGCCAGGAGTTTATGCATCTCATATTCATTTCTTCTCCCTTCCTTCTTGAGCTAGTTAACAGAAATATCACGTGATCACCCCAGTCTTTTGAAAATTTTGGATTTCCCAAGAATTCAAACTGCAAGCAGAAAGAGCAAATACCTGAAGAACTTCCTTTTCCCGAGCAGCCTTCCAAGATCTAAATTGCTCAGATTCTTGCTTAATCTTTTGTTGAAGTTGAACCTAACATAACACATATTGAGGATATGTCAGAATATAAAGCTAAACTATGTTTGGGTCTCTAGGAAACTGTGAGGAGAAAACCTTTTGAGATTTTATACGATGAATATCTTCTTGCAAGCGCTTAGCAGCCTCATCACTTCTCTGTTTCTGTCGTATTAGCTGCTGTTGAGCTTCCTGCTTTTTTTTTAGCTCAGAGACCTGCAAAACAATGGCAATCAGTATCTGAGGAAGAGAAAAGGCAGTTATAGTGTGTGCGCACCTGAGATTCAAGTGTATTCAGCTTCTGAAGGTAGTTTTCTTTCAGTTTTTGTGCACTCTCATCAGTAGAAGAAGTAATATTGGTTAATGCATGACGAAGTTCCTCAATTTCTTTCTGAAAACAAAAAAAAGGGTTACTAATCTTTAAAGATAGAAGTTAAGAAATTGTCCATTTTAATCAAATAAACCTGAAGAGCCTTCTTTTCTTGCTCCATCTCATTTAACTTCTTCTCGTAATGTTGCTTGAGAACAGAGGTGTCACTTTTTGCAAATTCTTTCATCTCCGCCTTTTGGAATTGAAAATGGAATATAATTACACTCCCCGTGAATCAAACAATAGAATAACGTAAAAAAATTTCACATAGATGTGATATAAAGTCAGTTGTTCGAAAAAAAAAAGGTGTACAGATGGCATGGATGAGTGAGATAAATCAAAACATATACATATACATATAACTTAAAAGCTAGTGTTAGAATAATCAAATTCATGTAAAAAGTGTTTAGACCAAGTCAAATTGTTGTAGCCTTGTCTATGAACAGCAACACTTGTTAAGAAGGGGAAATTGTACCTCCTTTTGCTGAAGTCTTTTATCTAGTTCCTGGAGTTCCTTATCAAGTTTGTCTTGCATGGATGAATGGTCTCTTTCCTTTTCTTCATCGGCTTCACCTGCAGGTACTGGAGTTATTCTAAAGTTTACGGCACCTATATTAGATTTAGAATGTTCAAATTTTAATTTTAGAGTTTTCCGGGCAGTAACCAGTTAGTGATCCAATTTCCCGTTACTGTATTTCACTAGGGGCCAATAACTCCATACAAACCAGTACTTGAAACCCTAGTCCTTGGTGCGAAAAATTCTACAGTTCTTTGGAACTGTTAATTTCAGTAAGTTAATTAGTGGTATATTATTCTATACTGATGTACACAGGAACACACCACAGGCAAGTTCACTGCTAATATCATAGAGCGCAGACTCAAAAGTGACTGTGTGATGCACAAAAGCCCTGCTTTCAATTCAATGTTCTACGCATTAACACCAATCTCGTGTGAACAAGTGTAAAGCTAAAACAACATAAAGTGGTCATGTTAAAAGAAGAATCAACATGTCATACAGATAATCCTAGATATAGTGCTAGAAGTCACTAGATTGTAAAATGTGACTTAGAACAAGCTACTTATTCAAAAAAGTATAACAACCGCATTTTATGAAAGTAATTCTGACTTCCTTTTACTTACTTGAAGCATCAGGTGTTCCTACTTCACAACCTGAACCCAAGTCATCGAGAAGCAAATCCTTGTCCATGGCAAACCGATCATGTAAATCATTTTTGCAGGTACTAGAGAACTTTTGCCTTGTCAGTTCACTCTCCAACTGCTGAATTTTCAAAATATATCTCTTCATGACCTCCACATCCTGCTCAGAACAAAAGCATATGTAAAAATTTGTTCAATTACGTTGTTTAAGAAATATTCCCACAAATCTGAAGAGCAGGAGATGGGTGGACATACCTGGTCAGTATCAGTATTCTCAATGTCATCCCATGATTTCCCATTGCGTGCTGATTCAATCTTCAACATCAACTGGTCCTTTTCAAGCTGTAACATATTATTGTTAGCAGAGTTATTCACGCCTACTTTCTTTAGACAGTTTGCATGTTAGTTTACTAGCTACATTCTGTTCTAGAGATGTTACAGATAATTTTCATGTGTTTCATACTAATTGCAATAGTTACCAGAGAAACATATTACATGATCTAGAATACACCTATATACAGCATCACCTAGCAATGTGAACTCATATGTAGTACTACAAAATAATGTTATGCACAAGTATATTGGAACTTCACTTAGATAAACCAGGGTACAGGAATCAATCATAAATACCTGGGCGGCAAGTGCACTTTGTGCCAACTGTTCATATGACAATTCCCTTTCCTTAAGCTCATGGTTAAGCTCTGAGTTTTTTAGCTCAAGTAGAGACACTTTTTGTTGCAGCAGCTGAAAGACGCATAAACAAAATTAGACAATAAATCGATAAATTCAACCAGACCTTGCAGATCTGCAAAACCAACCTGCAGTTCTTCTAGAGCAGCACTCCCACTGCGGGAGAACAGGAGCTCAGTCTGCAACTGCTCCAACTGACTCCTTAATTTTTGCATCTCTGCTGTAACTGGGTCACGGTTTATCTACACATAGGACACAGTGGGAAAATTATATCAACTGAAAAAATACTGTGAGCATACCTTTAAGGAGAATGACCATACCACAGCTTTATTTTGAATGTTCCGTGCACGATTGGCATACTTGAGTGTGTTTATGGTTTCTTCTGCATTTGAATCGGCAGGACTAATGCAAGCTACAGGTAAATAAACAACATAGAAGATGGATTTTAGTAAAGATACTACCAATACAACATTTACTATCAAGACATATATACCTACCAATCATAGCAGTTTTACTGTTTCCTCCAAGCGAATCCTGCAAAAAAAATTGAATATAGTAATGAGCATGATGCAAACGTGCCACTGTGACAGAGCAATCAGGTCCAAAGTAATCGCATATTTTTATGTCCAGTAATTCGTGGATTTGAGTATTTAATATGCTTGTGACATAACTAGGATCCATACCTGCAGAAGACGTGTTAATTTACTGTCCCGATATGGGACAAATGCTCCTTCTTTTCTCTTCTTTTCATCGCCTAATGCACTAATGACATTGCCAAGGGCTAGAAGGCCTCTATTTATGTGTATTCCTGCAGCCACAAAATATATAGAACACTGTTCAGATCAGATGCCCAATTATATTCTCAACTTAATAGGTAAATCCGTCCTTACCTTCTTTAAGCCGTAATCCGTCAGCTCCTGTTCGTTTAGCCCTTTCAGAACCCGCAAGGTCAACTAGATGAAACTTTGAGGACAAAATATCATAGTCATCGTTAGATAACTTGTCAGAGGCACTCGAGGTCTTCTTTTGATCCATTGAAATTGTAAAGATAGCATGAGACCGGCTACAAAGAAAAATTGTCATTCCAACAGAAAGAATTGTCAGACCTAATGGCAAATTTTCAAATAGTAAATGGACTTGTAAAAAACACCTACTTGTCTCATACTACCATTGCTAACCAATTATATTATTGGCTCCAATAATGTCAAGAAGTACAATAAAGTTATACCCAATCCTTTTTGTTGATAACAAAAACACATACTTTTGGGCATCTATACGTCGATGCAAATATATCATGCAAAACTATACCTATTATGCAGAAATACAAAATGCAAAACCAGAACATGCATGCAGCTTAACGAGTGCAAGTTTCATTATGCATGAAGTGCTAATATTGTATTTATAACCTTTTAAATGGTAAAAACATGGCACAAGAACCCCAGAAGCAATGAAGGAAAAATAATCTCTGCATAAAGAAATTGCATAAACTAATCTGTAAATTTAAATAAGCATACTATCATTCCTTTGTAACTTACCTTGACTGACTATTCATGTTTGTACTTCCTGTTGCACGCGAGGAAGAACCACGTGCCAAAAATGAGGCCATTTCTTCCTTTGTCTTCACCTCAGCCTCTGTCACACCAGCAAGTGTAATGCCGCCATTACCAGTCTCTCTAATCTGAATTGGCACTCTGGCAGGTGCAGTTGCTTTGGCTACAGACCCTGAATCAAGTCTGAGGGCAGCATGACTTGCATCTAGCAAATCAAAGACTTCCTCCTTGAAGATCTGGAGTGCACACAAAAGATCTCAAAAATGTTATCACGAATGAAACTGATGGCAGTTGGAACTGGCAAAACAACAATAGATGCCACCATGTATGATACCTCAATGAAGGACACCCTAATTAAAAACTCTGTGCCATCCTTCAATGCATCGGCCTTTTTGAATATTGTCTCCATAACTTGAGGAATTATTCCTCCACAATTAGCTTCACCAGTATAATTAGTACCCATTGTATATGTCTTGCCGGAGCCAGTCTAATTTTGTTAGAGGAAAAATACAAGTCACAAAACAATTATCTAAAAAAACATTTCTAGCATCATTATTAGTGCCACCATACTAAAGAATTTGCACCTGCCCATAAGCTAGGACTGTAGCGTTGTATCCACGGAATAATGAATCAATGAGAGGATGCACACATTGCTCAAATATTAACGAGGAAGGAGAGCCTGTGCTGCCGAATACATGGTCATACGTGAAGACATGTGGGCCAATTTGGACCTACAATAGCACAGAAGGCATCGTCAGACCAGTTGGGCCTTGAAGCAATCTTTAACAATACAAAAGTCCAGGTAAAATTACAATATTCTTAACTAGCATTCATATTAGGATTTAGACATCTGGATAGGAGTTGCGAGTGGTAAAACTATAATATTAAAGATATTATTCAAACTAGCTCAGAATCAGCAAAGCGCAAGCATAGATCTTTCACTATCCATCCCAGCAAAGAAACCGTTGGCCCTTGCCAAGCCACTCTACCCAAATTATCATCGAATTAGCTAAAAACCCCAAGGCCTGTCACATCATTCGCCAATTTATACTAGCATATATGCACCCAATTCAAAATCCCAGAAGCATCGCGTCCCCCAGGCCACTCGATCCTACCCAACCAGACAAACTAGTCCCCAAACAGATCGATACCTGCGGCTCGCCGGGCGTGACGGTGACGCAGTCGGTGCAGCCGAGGAGGAGCTCCGGCGTGATGAGCGGTCGGATGTTGACGACCACCTTCACGCTGTCCTTCTGCTGCGCTGCCTCGGAACCCTCCATCGGAACCCTAACCACGAATCCCCCAAAACGAATCAGACCAACAGCTCACGGAAAAATACCCTAGAAATCTAAAATTAGCCCCCAAAAAACTCACCTCGGTCAGGCCGATCTGGCGGATCGGCGAATCTCCCGGCACGACGAGCAATGCCTCTGGCTCCGGGGATCTGGATGGCGGCGTCGCGGGGGGCTTCGTTAGGGTTAGGGCTTGATCGCCCTCCTCGAGAGAGAGATTGGCGTGGAGAGGGAGAGAGAGAGATTTGCGAAATGACGAATGGGTGAGAGGGAGAAGCGCCCGCCCGGCGAAATTGAAAAAAATAGGGCACACGCCCGAAATGTTTTAGCCTATCGTCTGCATAGACCGTGTCTATAGACCCGTGGGTGAGTGGCGCTAAGCCCCGTAGGCATTCTCTACCGCGTGTGGCGTATAGACCCGGTCCAGGCCATGCTTAACATCACGTGACAAGGAACGGAGCGTCTGAGGCCTCCGTGGACCCGGTGCATGGGGCGTCCCGCATCTATCACCGTTGGTTGCTTGGCTTGAGTGCCTAGGATGCGTGTGGCCTATGGACGTGGCCTATGCGCCGCAGGAACCTTCGGCTCTCTGGATGCGGTTTCGAATTCAAAAACGTAGGGAAATGACGTTCTTGCACCCCGTGTGAACAGGCTACGCTTCCATGTGGGGCCGTTCGAACGTTGGCACCCGTTTTGGATAGCATTTGACGCCCAACGTTCTACTTGTAGTAGTATAATCGTAGAGTAAACGGCAGCTGATACATCTATACGGGCTATTGTGTTTTTAAATTATTGAATCAAGGGTAAAGATTTGAAATGATGATTGGCAGTGTTCGGTTGACATTGTTGCGGCTATCCTACAGCTATAAAAGGCACGGAGCACTATTGTCAGGCTTGTTGTTATAGCTAGGGTAGCCGAACAACGCCAATGTTATTTTCCTACAAAGTGCGGACAATAAAAGTATAAAAACAACAGATCGAGCACTCCGTTAATTAGAATTTTTTTGAAGAGAACACAGCAGGGGAGGGCCCCGCTGTTAGAATAATTTTATTAATAAAAATAAAATATGAAATTACAAAGAGATTACAGCAGACGGATCCAGTCCCTGACTACATCTTGATCTTGTGCATTGAGCCTAAACAGCAAAAGAAGCAAATCTCCCTTAAGAAGTTGCTTCCAAGAAGAGAACAAAGGCAATTTATCCTAAAAAAATAAACCCATTCCTTTGCTTCCAAATATTCCAAGCACCTAAGAGAAATTTCTCCATAAAACATTTTCCTAGATAAAGAGCTTTAGCCAACAGAAGCATGCTCTCCAAATTGAGAGAAGAATCCCATGAGATGCCAATATGATTCCAGCAGGCTACCGAAAAAGGACAGCAAAAGAAGAGGTGCACAAGAGTTTCAATACACCTCTGTTGACAAAGCACACAAAAGAGATCACAATTGGGAGGGGCACAGTGCTTATGATCAAGCATAAATTTGGTATTTAATTTTTCCATCAGAAGCAACCAACCAAAAACCTTAACCTTTGAGAAACCTTACTCTTCCATAACCAGAGGAAATGCCTCGGAGGCTGCAGTGATCTAAAATTGAGGGCATAGAATTTTTGGGAGGTATACTTAAGGCCACCCCAAATGTAAGACCAAACATCATTCTCATGAGACAAGTTGATGTTGCTGAGAAACTCGGTCAGTTCCAAATATTCATTATAAGCCTGCTGTGAGAGAGGAAGAATCAAATTATCTGACATATCAGTCGAGAGATATTTATGTACAGAAACATTTGTCATTTGCAAAAGAATACAGCCTAGGCATTAGAAAGGTTAATGGTGGATTTTCAGACCAAACATCCTCCCAAAAACAACAAGAATAACCATTACCCATGGAACATTTGGCAATACCTCTGAATAAATCCATCAACTTACAAATGTCTCTCCACCAAAAAGAACCCTTTGAGGTTGAAAAATGAGGCACAACCTGAGTAGTAAGAATTCCATATGAGGTCAACCCAAGGCACCTTTCTCCTATTATAAAATTTATCAAGAAACTTTAGGAGTAAAGCCTGATTCTGGATTGAAAGGTTAATGACTCCAAGACCTCCTTTCATCTTTGGTTTGCATACTTTATCCCAGGCAGCCAACGACTTTCTATTAGAGTTTACCTCTGAACCTCTCCACAAGCAATGTTTTCTTGCTCTATCAATATTGTCAATTACAGTCTTGGGCAACAAAAGAGTACACATATAATATGTAGGCAGAGAGGAAAAAACTGTGTTAACCAAGGTAAGTCTATCACCATAAGAGAGGAAAGCAGCATTTGCCGACAACCTTCTTTCAACTCTATCAACCAAAGGGGCAAAATCAATTACCCTCGGCTTAGTGGTTCCCAAAGGTAGCCCAAGATAAGTAAAAGGAAGAGAACCAACCTTATAACCAAACACTCCAGCCAGCAAATCAGCCTTTTCATCAGATATGTTTATAGGAATTAAGCAGGATTTATGGTAATTAACTTTCAAACCAGTGCCTTGAGCAAAATATTGGAGCAAAGCTTTCAAAGTAAAGAGTTCTCTTCCACTAGCCTTAGCATAAAGGAGAGTATCATCTGCATATTGAACCATAGGGAAATTCTGATCCTGATTTGAGGGAAAGGGCTTAGAGAGCAACCCCAAAGAGAAAGCTCTATTGAGAATAGTCTGCAAGAGATCAGCCCCTAAAACAAAAAGAAGAGGGGAAAGTGGATCACCTTGTCTAACCCCCCCCCCCCTTTTACAATGGAAATTTTTTCCAGGTACTCCATTAAGAAGAACCGATGAAGAAGCAGAGGAGAAAATCTTCTGAATCCAATTCAACCACTTATCAGTGAACCCCATCACCTTCATGACTTGCAAAATGGCCTCATGCTCAATGGTATCAAAAGCCTTCTCAAAGTCTAATTTCAACAAAACTATCTCTCTTTTGGAATGATGACATTGATGGAGAAATTCAAAGTTCCAAGCAAGACAATCTTGTATGGTCCGCCTTCTAAGAAAACCATACTAGTTCTGATGAATGACTGAAAGGATTACCTTTTGTAATCTATCTGCCAACAACTTTGTCAAAAACTTTAGAGAGATACTCATGAGAGATATAGGTCTGTAATCATTTATGGTTTCAGGGGTCAACTTTTTGGGGACCAAAGTGATAAAAGAGTGGTTCAAGGAGTTTAAATCAAGTGACCCAGAATGAAAATCTTGACAAAGATTATAATAATCATGACAAATTATGGGCCAACATTTCTTCATAAAAAGTCCATTGAAACCATCAGGCCCAGGAGCTCTATCAGTTGGAAGATTCTTAACAAGATTATCTATCTCGGATTTGGGAAAAGGAGCCTCAAGAACTTCCAGACCATTTTGAGGGGTAATTAAAGAATAGAGATCAAAAGGCATAGACACAAAATTTGAAACTCCCATTCTACCTTTAAAAGTATCCCAAGCCACATGAGCTTTACCCTCATGATCAAAGATTATAGTACCATCAACATCTATCAAGGAAGCAATAGAATTTTTCCTGTAGGACTCAGTTGCCATGGCATGAAAAAATTTCGTGTTTTCTCCCCCAAATTTTGCCCATCTAATGGTACATCTCTTTTGCCAGTAAACTTGCTTATATCTTAAGTAAGTAAGCAGCTTAGATCTAATAAAAACTCTGAAATTCCACTCCAACAAAGAAAGATATCTGTATTCCTCAATACTGTCCAGAAAAGAGATAACATTATTACAGTTAGAGATAAGCTTCTGGAGTCTGGAAAGATTCTTACTCCATTTTTTTAGTCCCTTTCTTAAAGCTTTAAGCTTTGAAGAAATATTTTTAGCAGAATCATGGGAGGAACCATGGTTATCCCAGATAGACTGAACCAAGTCGAAAAAACCTTCATGTTCAATCCAAAAATTCTCAAATCTGAACACATTAGCTCTAGGAATATTAGTTCCAATTTGGACCACACAAGGTGTATGATCAGAAATGGATCTAGCCAAAGGTTTCACCAAAGTGTGGGGAAAAGACAGTGTCCAGCTGGGGGAAGTGAAAAACCAGTCTGATTGCTCTAGTAAAGGCTGTTGCTGCATATTGCTCAAAGTAAAAGCTTTGCCCTTAATAGGGAGTTCAACCAAACCCAGATCACTAATAACCTCGTTGAAAAGGAAAATATCATTTATATCTGCACCTGACTTATTCCTGTTGAAGACTGACCGATAGAAATTAAAATCCCCTAAGAGTAACCAGAGATCATCATCCAAAATTTGGAGATCATGAAGCCAGGTTAAAAAATTGTCTCTCTCAATACCAGCACAAGGCCCATAGACAGTAACCAGGGTCCAAGAAAGATTAGAGTGAGTAGAAGTAAAAGTAAGTTGGATACCAAAACTCTCAATAACAATGTTTGAGGCTGTAAAAATAGAGCTATTCCAACAGATCAAAACACCCCCAGAAGCTCCCCTAGAAGGTGAAAATGCAAATTTATCAAAACGCTTAGGAGCAAGCTTCCTAATACAAGAATGATCAAAACTGCTCCTCTTTGTCTCCTGTAGGCAAAAAATAACACAACCACTTTCCTCAACCTTATTCCTTATAGCAAGTCATTTATCATCAGAATTAATGCCTCTAACATTCCAGCATAACACATTCCAATTTTTTAAAGAAGGGTTCATTTAAAACACAGGGATAAAATAAAACATCCAGACTGGATATAATCCAATCAATAACTGCAACTGAAAAGCCCAAATATCATAGAGTAACATGGGAACCATAAGGTCTGACAAAAGTAAAACATCACAGGACACTAGCTGATAACAGACAAGTCCAAAGCAGCCTAGCTGCAACAAAAAACAGCACAAACTTCTAATCATTACTAACTGGGCTGATAGGCTTGGTGACCAATGCTGAAGAAGAACCTTACATTGACACCACAGAAGACACCTCCTCCAGGGAAGCACCACATATGTCCAATCCAATTCTCTGAATTAAATCAACAGAACAATCAGCAGGGATAACAGTGGACAAATCACTAGAATTATCAATAGAAATATCAGAATGGAGATCCACAAAAGGAATCAGTTCATTAGGAAATACCACTCCACTAGCATCAGCCAACTGCTTAAGCTTTCTGACATCCTTCCCTCTTGGCTTACCAACCCCCATGTTTGGATCTTCAGCTAACTCTTGCCTAAACCCATCTCTGATAGCTAATAGTCTACCACTTCTCCTGACAGAAGAATCCACCAATGGGGTTACCATTTTCCT